AAAAAAAAAAAAACACTAGTCATCATCAAGGAAATACACAAGAGGTAACATAAGCAAACTGGTATATAATCTCAAATTCCAACCCTCCCACAGAAACATCAAAAACAAGCAGAAACTATCAGAACCAATTTTGTGAGAACTCTGAAACTCAAAAATTCACAGTAACCAAGAAAATGCTGTAAGAAATCGACTTAAAAAGCTGGGTAAAGCGGCACACATCTGTAAGCCCAGGTGCTCAGAAGGCTGAAGGAGAACAAGTATGAGATCAACCTGGTCAAAACAGCAAGATCTCATCTCAATAATAACAATAATAATATAATAACAACAACAATTAATTCATTAATGACTGACTTCAAAACAACAGAGAAGCACTGTGACATTTTTTTATTTGCCCTTACCCCACCAACTCTCTTAGCAACAGTCTTAAAAATAGTGGCCCACAACTTCAGTGTTAGATCCCCATCTCTGGTCTTAGAAGAAGCAGAGTTGACCTTATTCCATATTGATTGTATGTCTGTTCTAACTTGTCTGGAAGCCACCTGCAAGGACTGATGCAAAATGTTCCTCTCATTACACTTAACTCAGAAGTTTCTGAAGCTGGAAAAGCAACAAGTATTATTCAAAAAACAATGAAATGTGATCCAAACAACTACAGCTACCTGAGACAAAAAAATTACAATTGAGATACAAAACAGACCACCTAAGGTCACAGACAAGGATGAGTTTCTTTCAGAAATTCAGGAAAATCAAAATACCTGTACAGTCTAGGTAACGTGGAAAGCCACATACATGTTCCAGGCACATTAAGTTCTCAGAAAAAAACTGGAGAAGACATTAGGCTTTCAGGATGCAAATCTAGCTCAGTATTAAAAGATCTCAGCACAAAGCAAATCCTCAAAGACTAACAGAAATATATGTATTTTTTTACCTCCTAGTGTTTAAGAAAATCTGTTAACAACACAAGGAGCAAACTTCAGCTCTGGCTACTTCTTCCTCCACATGTGACTAGCAGCCGCGGGGCAGCAGCGTTTGAGTTCGCTCGCTCTTCGCTACCTCGTCTTCTCTGGGCTCTCCGTGCCTCGCTGGAGTCATGTAGGTCGCCAAGACCAACCCGGCTGTATCTTCCCTGCCCAACGGCGACTGCGGGCCGCGCCAGGATGCCGCAGGGAGGGAACCGGGTCACTGTGGTGCTGGGCGCGCAATGGGGCGACGAAGGCAAGGGGAAGGTGGTGGATCTGCTGGCTCAGGACGCCGACATCGTGTGCCGCTGCCAGGGAGGAAATAATGCTGGTCATACAGTTGTTGTAGATTCTGTGGAATATGATTTTCATCTTCTGCCCAGTGGAATAATTAACCCGAATGTCACTGCATTCATTGGAAATGGTGTGGTAATTCACCTACCTGGGTTGTTTGAAGAAGCAGAAAAAAACGTTCAAAAAGGAAAAGGTCTAGAAGGCTGGGAAAAAAGGCTCATTATATCTGACAGAGCTCACACTGTATTTGATTTTCATCAAGCAGCTGATGGTATCCAGGAACAACAGAGACAAGAACAGGCAGAAAAAAACTTGGGTACCACAAAAAGGGGCATTGGCCCAGTTTACTCTTCCAAAGCTGCTCGGAGTGGACTTCGGATGTGTGATCTTGTTTCTGACTTTGATGGCTTCTCTGAGAGGTTCAAAGTTCTAGCTAATCAATACAAATCTATATACCCTACTTTGGAAATAGACATTGAAGGTGAATTACAAAAACTCAAGGGTTATATGGAAAGGATTAAACCAATGGTGAAAGATGGAGTTTACTTCCTGTATGAGGCTCTCCATGGACCAGCAAAGAAAATCTTGGTAGAAGGAGCAAATGCAGCTTTATTGGATATTGATTTTGGGACTTACCCTTTTGTAACCTCCTCGAACTGTACTGTTGGAGGTGTCTGCATAGGTCTGGGCATGCCCCCTCAAAACGTTGGAGAAGTGTACGGAGTTGTGAAAGCGTACACCACTGGGGTTGGCATCGGTGCCTTTCCAA